TTCATAACTTGTTTTGATAATAAAAATGATATTATTTCCATTTGTGTTGCTCAATATTTTGTAATGAGGATTATGTTATTGTACGTTGAGTTATACTCTCCTTAAGAAGGGAATTCCATTTTTCCCACTTTCCAGGGCTATCATGGAGTTGATGTAAGAAACTTCACAACTTCATGGACTGATGGCCTGGCCTTCAATGCCCTCATTCATAGCCATCGCCCTCAGCTATTTGACTGGACAGTAATGGCTCGGAAACACCCATATGCTCGGCTAGAAAATGCTTTTAGACTTGCAAATGAACACTTTAACATTGAAAGACTTCTAGATCCAGAAGGTGAAAAATTTAGTGTATATTTTATTAGCACTCTTGTATTGTTTGGACAATATCATGCATATTTTTAAAAAATATTATTTTCTTCCACAAATTAATATTTCATTTACAATCTTATTTTTTGTTTATCTTACAGATGTCAATTCCCAAGTTCCTGACAAGAAATCTATCATGATGTATGTGATGTGCCTGTTCCAAGCACTTCCTCATGGCTCTTTCACAATGGAGAGCCTAGATGTGTCAATACAGTCTGATTCTTCTTTCTCTCTTGATGTAAGTTTGGATGTTTGTGAGACTTTTCTACTGGCATTTTTATTTTTTTATTCTTTAGAAAATGTTTATGATGCTGATTTCCAATTTCCTATATTAATATGTACTATAATACTTGAACTCTTTCCTCACCACAGACAAGCAGTGAAAATGTTGCGCAGGCTACCAGTAAAGGTAGGCCACTGTCAAACGTAAGCATTGGCCTAGGGGAATACCAGCGCACGTTAGAAGAAGTTTTGACCTGGCTCCTGGGTGCTGAAGACAGACTGGCAGTTATGCCTCCCATAGCCAATTCTACAGAAGAAGTTAAGGACCAGTTCCATGACCTAGAGGTAAGTTCAAATCTAAGTGGAATGTTTTATACCACAGTTTGTCTGAATTTACATGTTTTTCCATATAGAAGGCAGTTCTATGGGCAAGTAAAACCATTTCTTTCAGGAACTCATGTTGGAGCTAACTTCAAAGCAGGGAGGTATTGGAGATGTCCTAGGAGAGGGATCAAGGCTCTTAAAAGAAGGAGTAATGGAAGAAGAGGAAGAGGAAGAAGTCCGAGTGCAGATGAAGCTCCTCAACACTAGATGGGAGGATCTAAGAGTCAAGGCAATGGATCGACAGTCAAGGTGTGTATGATCTTTAATAACTTAACCCCCTCAGTTTGGTTATCAACCAAAGATTCAGACATTTCCTCTGGGTATTTATTGAAATTTATCATTTATTTATCTAGTTTCTTAAGCAGTAAATATTTTAGAATATGCATGATTATTTTACACTTTATGATTATATATTCTCATTTTGAAAGTATGTGATTTTGTAGGGCTGAGTCTGTCCCAAGGAAGAGCAAATGTGCACCAATTAATTTGTATTGGAAATTATATTTTCAAGGAAGAACATGATAAACTGGCAGTTTTTCTACCTTTCTCAAAGCTCATGTGTTCTTAAAAGAAAATAATAGAAAATTATGTATTATTATAATTATCTTCTGACATATCCCAGAGATGACAAAAACTCATCTAAAGGGTAGCTAAAGTTATACACCTAGATAGGTTGATATGTGGATCGTAAAGTGGGTTAGTATGAATATAATGAAAAGGGAATTTAAATTGGAGAAGTTGATAGAAGAACAAGTGATTTAAGATTTGATGGCACACCTGTTGTGTGATTGTAGAGATGAGTAGGAAGGTATGATTTTTAGCATATTATTAGGAGGAGACTAGTATTCTCATCATTGGTGTTAATTTGATCACTTTATTTGTACAGATAGAAAGTATGTAGTATTCTTTTTTATTAGTAATATTAATGCTGTGATCCCTTTGATGTATACTGAGAATGACTGTCATAAAGTATTTTATAATATTTTCCTTTTTGTTTTTATATATTTTAGGCTCCATGAGAAGTTAATGACCCTTCAGCAAACACAGTTAGAGAGTCTAAAGAAGTGGCTTACTGAAACTGAGGATCGTATCGCCAATATGAGCCAGGTAATATGAGATTTACTGTAAAAAGTGTAGATTGAATTACATACTGTGTAACTAGAAATACACACGTGCGTGTGTGTGTGTGTGTGTGTCTGTATGTCTATATATATATATATATATATATATATATATATATATATATATATATATATATATATATATATATATATATATATATATATAATATATATATAATATATATATAATATATATATAATATATATATAAATATATATATAAATATATAAATATATAATATATAATATATAATATATAATATATAATATATAATATATAATATATAATATATAATATATAATATATAATATATAATATATAATATATAATATATAATATATAATATATAATATATAATATATATATATATATATATATATATATATATATATATATATATATTATATATATATATATATATATATAGTGTGTGTGTGTGTGTGTGTGTGTGTGTGTGTGTGTGTGTGTGTGTGTGTGTGTGTGTGTGTGTGTGTATTATATGTGTGTGTATATGTGTATAAGTATACTATATTGGGGAAAGTTATTGTAATCTGAATTAACATTCTCAACAGGTTGGACCAACAACAGATCTGCTAAGAGAACAAATTGCAGCTCACCAAAGTCTTCAAGAAGACCTGGAAAGTGAACAAGCTAACATCAACTCCCTCTCCAACATGGTGGTTGTTGTTGATGAGAGTAGCTCAGACAGTGGTGAGGGTAGTATATTATGCTATACTATATCTTGTTGTTTCCAGTAGTGGACTTGGTTTAATGTTAGTGGTATAGTAAATTAAACCTCTTTGTTTCTAATAGTATTAGTGTAGTTATAGTGATATATATTTTGTATACTGGATGTGATAGAGAGCTGGTCGTACATGTATCTGTGTGTGTGTGTGTGTGTGTGTGTGTGTGTGTGTGTGTGTGTGTGTGTGTGTGTGTGTGTGTGTGTGTGTGTGTGTGTGTGTGTGTGTGTGTGTGTGTGTGTGTATATACATGTATATATATATATATATATATATATATATATATACATATATATATATATACATATATATATATATATATATATATATATATATATATATATATATGTACATATATATATATGTACATATATATATATATATATATATATATATATATATATATATATATATATATATATATATATATATGTATATATATATGTATATATATATGTATATATATATATATATATATATATATATATATATATATATATATATATATATATATATATATATAAATATATATATATATATATATATATATATATATATATATATATATATATATATATATATATATATATATATATATATATATATATTTTATGCATAGATATATTTTTTTTTCTAATCTTAAGTCTAAGTAAACTAGAAATTAAGCACATAGCTTATAGTATCTTTGATATAACTTTGTCAGATATTTTAGTATCTGTAAGGGATAAAGAAATTATTTTGAACATCTTTTATTTATTTTTTTTATTATTATTGTTTTTTAGCTTATTCATCATTGGAAGATGAATTGAATGCCTTGGGAGAGAGATGGGCCCATATCTGCAGATGGGCTGAATCACGCTGGAAAACTTTGCAGGTATGGTAATTTGTGAATGAATCAAGGAATTTTCAGTTGTCTATAGTTGCAAGTGATTTTAATTACATTGCTAATAATTTTTTTTTTATGGTTTCATTACTTTCCAGACATTATCTGTTCACTGGACACATTATGAACAAGAAATGAACAAAATGGGAGAGTGGATGAATGAAAAAGAATCATTATTACGTGAGGTAGAAAGTAACCCATCGTCAGATCAGGAGCACATCCTTCGTCAAGCTAGCATGCTCCAGGTAAGGGATGATTTCTAACCATAGCTATATATTTGTAGCCAGTTAATCATTAATATTGTTTCTAAGTTTACTCAAGAGTCTTTGGTATCTAATCGTTTGCTTTCATGAAAGGCATATTTTATTAAAACAGTGATATATAAGTTGCAAATGATTATGTATACTTTTTCAAACAAATAATATTATTGGTGATTCTGATTAGTTTCCCAGATATTAAAAACTTGAAGGGTAATATCAGATTCATATTTCATTATCTGATTTCTGATTTCAGATTCTGCAAGCAGAGATGGAAGTACAACATCGCCGGTTTGAACATTTGCAAGAAGAGAGTGCCAAAGTTTTAAGCCATTTACCACAGGACTCACCTGGCCAGGAAAAAATCCCATCTGAGATAGAAATGATCCAAGATCGCTTAGACTGCCTCGTCAGTATCATTGAAGCTCAGACACAGAGAGTGAGTGTTGTTTGATTTTTTTAACTCATATTTGATATAATTTGGGCTCTGGATATTATATATGGTAACTATTTAATCTTCCTTTGGATTTTTTTTTTCTTTTATGAGATTGATACCTAACCTTCTGTTATATGTAATACAAGTGATTGTAAAGCTAATCTGTTTAGATGTTTGTTTTTAATACAAGGTTATCATTATGTGCTGATGCTCAAGGAATATTATGGATAATGGACAGAATAATAGTATGGTATAGTAAGCTCTGTTGTTGATTTAGTTATCAGTAATTAACTTCATTCATGTTTTATTTACTTCCTCAAGATGGCAGCTAATGGTATTGACATTAAGAAAATTGTCATTCCTGCGGATAATACAAGTGACATAGTGAGCTCAAGTACTACTACTATCTCTCATGAAGATGCTACAGTGGTCACCAAGATCATAACCACCAAAATTGTCACAACTGAGACAGTAAGAGTTATCACATTCATTTGCATATAATGTTTGATATTAATGGGTAGAGTCGTCATATGTATGGCCACCAATATTTTTTCTCCTGTACTTTAAGTTCATTGTAATATTTTCATTATCTTTTCAAACAGGTTGAAGGTAGTGTAATTAAACGCCAGAAGCTGGAAGGTGGCAGCCAAGAGGACTTTTCTGTGGCTCTCCATCAACTGGGTGGATGGATGGACTCTTTAGAAGCAGAGGTTAGGCCCAAGGTTGCAGGAGAATTGACCATAGAACAGCTAATGCAGCTTGCTCAGCAGCTTGAAAATGAGGTAGGTTATTACACACATTTTTTATATAATATACAAAAACATTTTCTGGCATAAGGTATACCTGTATAGTAAATAACTTAAGTTGTAGACAAGAAACTTGTTTTAGTTTTATAACATCTTTTTAACTTGATTTTTGATTATAGGTAACTAGAGTCACAGATGAAACAGTTTGCAAATATTTCAGATTGAAACAGGTGTTTTCTGTGTAATCTGATTTTTTTTAAATGAAAGGATAATATTTCACATTGTAGGACTATCATGTGTGATGGTAATACTAAAAAACTGATTTTAATGTGATATTTTAAATTCTCAGATTGAGGGTCAAAAAGAAGAGTATTATAAGGTAGTAAGCCTTGGCCAATCTGCTATATCAGAAACATCAACTATTGGTGAATCTGCCAAAGAAAGTGAACAACAGGTTGCAGGAATTACAAGTCGCTGGGAAGCTCTGAATGCAATGCTTATTGAAATCAGGTAATGGATACTATTCTAACTTTTATTTGTAATCCACAATCTTTTTATAAGTAATTGCAAGTGGATCTTGAATACCAATAATGTATGAATAACAAAGATTGTACCAGGTTGATAAGTATTGATTTCTATTTTTAGTGCCTTAAAAATGTTTTTGGTTAATGAAATCATGGCCTGTTTTTTCCCATTTCCAGAACTCGCATAACCTTCCTGACAGAGAAGAAGAAAGTGACAACACAACTCAGCGACCTAGATGTACAATATGAGGGATTCCTCAGATGGTGTGAAGATGTGCGCACAGTAAGCGAGAATGAGCCTAATGCTGTCTCCCTTCAGATTGAGCAGTGCCAGGTTAGTGCTGTCAATGCAGGTCATATATTTTTTCTATGAATGAACTGATTTAGTAGATGATTTAATATTACCAAAGAAGATAATTGAGGAATTTTGCTACTATGTGAGGTTGTGATTGTTATCCATTAAAGATCCAGTAAAAGGTATATATTGAATGGAAAGTGTTGTTGCTTTGTAGACAAGATATGAATGAGAATGAATATTTTACTGCAATAGATATATTTGAGCATTTTGGATATAACTGAAACTGATCAAATATATATCTTGCATTGTGGAAACATCCGTTTTCATTCATACCTTTTCTACATTTGTCATAATGAATAATGGTTCATTTTGTTACATATGTGCTTTTTATAATCTATGTGTCCAGATAATCTTGGCTATTGTGAATGATTGTGAAAGCTCTGACTCCTAGTATTAACTGATCTTCTTTTTATTTTTTACTGCAGAGTAAGATTGCAGCCATGGAGAGTCATGAATCAGAGATTGGTGCTCTAAAGGTAGCATGTGAAACACTGGATAGCAACTTTGCACAGGAGACACAACCAGTGATGGAACAAGTTCAGATTTTTATCACCAAGTGGGAAGCTCTTAAAATAAGGTATGTCTTGCTTAAAATGTCTCACTGTTACTTCTGTATGATTTTCTGTATAGTACAATTATGGCATTGTGTTTTTCACAGAATACAAAGTTTACAAATGATAAATAAAAAAGAATAATTACAAATTCCAATTGGCATTTTATTCCTTAATCACATTAATTGATAATTAATTGTAAAAATGGCAACATGCATTTTCAGTTCTAAGTATTCAAATCTAGCTACTTCTTTTAGAGACCTTAGGTTAATCTCTGAGAATGTTTAGATAACATCCATGAAATTATTTCTCATTTTGACTTCTCGTCTAAACAGGCTTGTTGAATGGAATGTAACTCTAAAAGAAAGGCTTGGACAAGTTTCTCCATCACCAATGGTCGTTGAAACTGTGCAGACTGCTCCACCAGAGTCACTTGTTAAGGCTATGGAAGCTTCTAGGAAATGGCTGGAAAGTCTTGAAACTGCCCTTGCTACTGAACATGTTGTGTCCAGTTTGCCCCAGATGCAGGACATGCTCTTGAAGTTCCAGGTAAAGTAAAGAATCAGACTTTCTGTGCTAACCTTTTATATTATTTGTTGTTATCCTTTGACTTTATATCGCTTTTATTTCTTGTATTTCCTCATTTTACTTCACAATACCTTACCTCCATCTGTTTCTTCCTATTAGTCCATACCTAATCTCACTTTAATCTAATTATATGATGGGTATTACTAGCTTGAATTACTTACTTTTGTATGTTGAGAGTAAGAAAAGATATACTGTATTTCACTTCACCTTGACTGATATATTTTGTTCAGGAAGTGAATGTTGGATAAATCTCTTCTAGTGACATCATCCTTTCTGTATTTTACAGGACTTGTCACAAAAAGTTGAAATGGAGCAAGGCAACATGAAACACATAAATGATGCATGCAGTGCCCTTATTAAAGAAGGCCAAATAGGGATCTCAGATGACTTTACAAAGCTGAATAAACAGTGGGAGACGACAACTGAAGCGCTCGAGTCACGCATCAAGGCTATTGAAAAAGGTCTGCTATTTCTGCTAGCATTATGTTTTAGTTAATGTTCACACACACACACACACACACACACACACACACACACACACACACACACACACACACACACACACACACACACACACACACACACACACACACACACACACACACATATATATGTATATATATATGTATATGTATATGTATGTATCTGTATATATAAATATATATGTAAATATATAAATATATAAATATATATGTATGTATATATATATATATATATATATATATATATATATATATATATATATATATATATATATATATATATATATATATATATATATATATATACATAATCATATATAATATATATATAATCACCCTGAATTATGCAGGCTCACATTTTATAGATTGTTGTTCTAAAATGCAAATTTGGGGTGCTTAAGCTTTATGAATTCAGCAAGTGTAATTTAATGTATTACACATTCACAGTGATTGAGAAGCAGAAGCAGTACAACGATGAAGTGTCTGGATTGTGCTCATGGATGTCAGAAGTTGATGTTTTCCTCCAGGCAGAGGAGCCAGCCCTTGGAGATATAGAGACATTAGAAGCACAATTAGAGCAATCTAATGTGAGTTCTATCTTTTCTTTATGCAGAAATTGAAATCAAAATAGTTGTGATTTAGAATGTCCTATGATACTTCACTTTACTTGTAGACAAAAAGATGGGTAGAGACTAATAAACTCATGTTACATTTTGTAATGCAGGCTCTCCAGGATGATATTGTAACACTGGAGAATAATGTAGCAAATATCACAAGCTCTGGCAAGCAGTTGATGGAAGAGGCTGAACCAGAGCTAAAAGGATCCATTTCAGTCCAACTAGATGAACTTACCAAGCGCTGGGCATTAGTAACTGAGCTTGCAAAGGCTCAGAACAAGAGTTTGAAAGATGCTTTAGCTAAGAGTCAGAAGGTAAGATTTTAAATTAGTTTTAAGAACATAGTGATTCAGAATGCAGAGTTGTCTTTTGATAAAACAATTAGAAAATTATATGGTAATAACTGTTCAAAACTCATTAACCCATTGCCACTGGGGAAAATGAATAAAAAATGGGGAAAATGCTGTGCTCATTTTTAAAATTTTTAATGAAACGTCTCTACATGTAGATGGCTCTGCCTTACCTGATTTCACCTTTCCTTAAATTGGCGGGAAAATGTATTTTTTACTAGTGCAATGAATATCGATGGTGGTATTTTTGAAGAAAACACTGTCTAGTGTTTTGTTTTGTCTATTTTGTTTACATGTAATTAGCTTTACAGGTGACTAGTCACCAAAGAGTCATTACTAGGCCTACCGTACCTCATTTGTGTACTCCTTTCCTTGAATTTTTTGAATAAAAGAAGAAATATTTATGACTGTTATGACCATTATCATTATTTGTATCATTATTTACATTAGTATTATTCTTATGTTATTAGCATTAATATTAGTAATAGAAATAAAAACTTTTCTTTCTGAGAATTCAATGAGCGGAGTAAACAGGTAAGATCAGGTAGGCCCAGTAATTGACACCATGGTGACAAAGCACTTCTGGAGCCATATATGTGTAAATAAAATTATTGAAATGAAATTATTTGCATGCATATATGCACTGCTGGCCTCAGTGGGTTAAACAGGATTACTGAGTAGTAGGTGAATTTTGAAATTTTAAGATTTGAAAAGTGAATAAATAGGATTTGTAAATTAAAACTGAACATTTACAATGATATGAAGACTTACTATTAATCAACAAATCTAGGAATAAAGGTCAAGTATGAATGTATATTATTTTGCTAAAATTGTAAAACATGAAATGTCTTGAATCTGTTTTAGGTCCATGAAGACATTCAAGCATTAAATACTTGGCTGGATGAAATGGACCAAAAAGTCCCTGCTTTTGGTCCAATAGAGACATCATCAGAACTAAGTGCAGCAATTGATTTGTTCAGTAAATTACGTGAAGAAATAAGTGAACACAGTGAAGAGTTCAGGGGTGTAAATAACACCGGTAAGTATGCATATCTGCAAATACATTGTTATATTTTGGAAATATGTTTGAGGCATTAATAAATTATATAAAAATTATTGCAGATAGTTCCAGGTAGTCATATGTTTAAGCTTTGTATTTCATTAGAAAGAGAAAGGATGAAGACTTGATATATCAGGATATTATTTTAGGGTCTTGATATACTTCCAGTGCATCAAGATTGTCTTCAAAAGAGGGTAAATATATAAAAAGGACTAAGAACATGTTTGAAAGGAAAAGGCACTAATACTAGATTCACTCACAGGCAATGAGATGCTGCAGCATGATGCTGCTGCCACCCATGAAGAGCTTGC